GAGAGAGAGAGAGAGAGAGAGAGAGATTGAGATGCCAGGTGTAGGAATTGCCTAACATCTGCTAGAGCCCCAGGCTCTATGTTTCAACTACTGTTTAAAGGAGTTCGGGGACATTCGTCATAGCTGTTAGCCAGAATGTATATGAGAGAGATTGTGATTTTATATGTCTATTCCTGAAATTGGTTTTTTTCTGTAGTTATTTACAGTGATTGGGGGAAGACCTCCGCATTTTAAGAAAAGCTGCTAAGTAATATTTTATTTGCAAAAAATGTCCTATTTGTTTCTACAAAGACTTGAGGATGTTTGTTGGTTAATAATAGAAAGTTTTTTATTTTTTTCATTTTTGCCTGGGAGCCTGTTTACCTAATCCTTTGGCATCCCCACCCCCATTTCTGGGCAAGGTCTCAAAGTGCAGATGAGAAAGCCTGTCTCTGCTTTACAAATGCCTGTTCTTCTCCCTGTGTTCTCACTGGTAACAAACTACCCAAATGATTATACCCCAGGATCTGCTGACGCAGAACAGGGCCCCTGAGCTGCCCTATGGAGACACTTGGCCTCCTCAGCCCTATCTGGCAGGTAAGGGAGGGCTGTTAGAAAGAACCCCTGCCATTTTCTGTGCAATTATGTGCTCCTGGCATTTTTAAGTGGATTTTTTCCTTCTTTGCTACTCGGTGGTATTCTAATTTTTGGCACTTACATAGCTGAGTAAAATGTTTTTCAGCTGTGAAGTTGTTGAATTGAATTTGGTCTTCTCCATCCCCTTCCTCCCATTTCCTACCCCCACTTTCCTTCTCATCTTCAGATAGGAGTGTTGGTTCCCACAAAACAAAAGCTCACATTTAAATAGTGTGGCCTATGCCTGTGAGTGTATCACTAGTACCTTGTATTACTATCTGCTACCATCACATCCTAGAGCAGTGAGGGTGAACCTTTTGAGCTCAGTGTGTCAGCATTTTGAAAAACCCTAACTTAACTCTGGTGCTGTGTCACATATAGAAATTTTTTGATATTTGCAACCATAGTAAAACAAAGATTTATATTTTTGATACTTATTTTATATATTTAAATGCCATTTAACAAAGAAAAATCAACCAAAAAAATGAGTTCGCGTGTCACCTCTGACACGCGTGTCATAGGTTTGCCATCACTGTCCTAGAGAATGGAGGGAGAGGTCAGGAACTTAGTGACTTTTTATGTAAGACTTAGCAACAGCATATATGGAAAGTTTGTCTATTATAAACTCAGAGTGAATTAATAATGAGATGAGGCTGCTTGGGGGACGCAACAATTATGTTCAACGTGATGCTGGTGATGGTCCCCTCATCTGAGCAGATGTGGCAACCCCTGGGCCCCATGCTCCAGGAAACACGGAGTAGACAGGAATAAACCCAGGCCATTCAGAACTGCTTCACCTGAGGAATAGTTAAAAGAACTGGGGCTGTTTATTTTAGAGAAGACTCGGAAGGACCATAGCACTCTCTTCAAATGATGGAAGGGCTCTGTGTGTAGGAGAAGCATTAAACCATGTGGAGCTTTAGGTCCTGGAACGAGGATGACTGGGTGGAAGGACTTCCTACCATCAGGGGTTCTCAAAGATGATTGCCTGGGGTGCTGCCTGTGAGCCTCACAGCTTGATCCCTTGGAATGAGTGTGACTCCTGATTTGTATCTAATGAACTCAGATAACTATGAAAGCCAGCCCAGGGCACGATAAAAAGATATGCTGACTAGGTAGGAGAAAAGAATGACAGCTCTAGTATGGGGCCATCTTCTGTGGTCCTACTTTCCCCAATTTACCTTAAGTTCGCTTTCATTTTTCTGTTTTCTCTAAGATATTTTCTCATATCTGCTGACTCAACAGTTCAAATTTTGGGAGGCTGTGTTATCGAAATAAAAATACAAGTATTTAATGATATGTGCACAATTATATAAATACATATACCCCTGTGAATATGTTCTTTTATAAATATACTAGAGGCCTGGTGCACGGCATTTGTGCACTGGGGTGAGGGTGGGGGTGTCCCTCAGCCCATCCTGTGCCCTCTCACAGTTCAGGACCCCTCTGGGGATGTCCGCCTGCTGCTCCCGCCACCTCCACTGGAGCCCGGCTTTTGGCTGAGCTATGCTCCCCCTGTGGGAGTGCAGTGACCACCAGAGTGCAGCTCCTGCATTAAGCATCTGCCCCCTGGTGGTCTGTGTGTGTCATAGCGACTGGTCATTCTATCATTTGGTTGATTTGCATATTAGCCTTTTATTATGTAGGATGTAACACTTTAAATTTGTAAAAATATAAAAAATATACATATATCTTTTTATAAATATATACATGTGTATATATTGTTTGAATTGCAAAAATATGGAAATAACCTGAATGATGATAAAAGAGAAGAGTGGAAGTAGTGGAGTAAATTCTGGTCTCTCCATAGTGTGATTATGCAGTTATTATAGATCTATATCTACCATCCTGGAGGGCTGGGGAGAACATAGAATTAAGTGAGAAAAGCAAGAGAAACATCTGTAGTATGATCTTGTTTTGTGAGACTAAATTATAAAAAAAACTCACATATGTAATCATATTCGCATATATTTGGGTGAAGGTGTAAAAGGGGTGGGAGAATGTAGATGAAGTTATTAACAGTGGTGGAGAGTTTGAGGTGGGTGGGGACCTGAGTGACAGAAAGTGAAAGGGGTTGGCTTATCTATCCATCACCATCCATCCATCCATCACCATCCATCCATCCATCCATCCATCCATCCATCACCATCCATCCATCCATCCATCCATCCATCCATCCATCCATCCATCCATCATCTTCATTGGTTGGGCTTAATCATGGATTAATTTTGAGGACTTTAATGAAAGGAAGGAAGGAGAACTTTCTTAGTTATTTCCATTTTTTGCTCTGTTGTTCTTATAAAAACTTTTGATCTTTCTGTTAAGAACAATCCATGGATTTTATAATAAAATGATCATTAGTTTTAATTCTTTAGAGCAGTGGTTCTCAATCTTCTGGCCCTTTCAATACAGTTCCTCATGTTGTGACCCAACCATAAAATTATTTTTGTTGCTACTTCATAACTGTAATGTTGCTACTGTTATGAATTGTAATGTAAATATCTGATATGCAAGATGGTCTTAGGCAACCCCTGTGAAAGGGTTGTTCGACCGCCAAAGGGGTCGCGACCCATAGGTTGAGAACCACTGCTTTAGAGTGATTGTTTAAACAATTTAAAATAAATCTTGGAAATGTGTAAAGATAAAATATTTTAAGTCAAAACAGAATTTCTAGATATCATGAAAGATGAATGATTTAAGAATCAGTTGTATTTTCTTCTTTGTTTTGTTGCTGTATAGGAGGTGCTCATTTTCTCCTCATGTTCCAGAAAATGTTTCCTTTCTTAAATCTAGGGAACACAGGATTGGGTTAGGAGCGCCCAACTCAGAAGTTTTCTAGTTCCCAATGGGGAAGGAGAACATTGAATGGAGAGCTCTAACATAAGTGTGTGTGCATGTGTATGTGCATGTGTGCGTGCATGCGTGTGCGTGCATGTGTGTGCGTGCATGTGTGTGTGTGTATTTTATTAAACCTCACCTGAGGATATTTTTCCCATTGATTTTTAGAAAGAGTGGAAGGGAGAGAGGGGTGAGAGAGAAAAAAAATCCATAGATGTGAGAGAGACACATCAATGGGTTGTCTTTTGCACAGGCCCCAACCAGGGCCAGGTATTGAACCTGCAACCCAGGTACATGCCCTTGACTGGGAATTGAACCTGTGACCCTTTGGTGCGCAGGCCAGTGCTCTAACCATTTAGCATACTGGCCAGGGCAATGTGTGTGTATATTTTTAATTTGTTTCTCTCTGCTGAGATAGCCAGAGAGATACTGTTGTATTCCTGTCTGGCAGATGCTTTCTTTCTAATTATTTTTAAGATTTATTTTCCCTTTTAAACTAGCCTCATTATACATTCATATTTGATGCTAATAGTCCTTTCTACATAAAGAATTTGCCTGCATTCAGAAGAGCCCAGATATTGTAGAGTTGGCTGGTGATTTAACCCCTGCTTATAATGAGAGAGGATTTGGGGGAGAACGGATGCTGTTTCATTGATGTAGACTCAGAGCTGATGCCAAGTAGCCACTCTGAGACAAAAGCGAGACATGAGTGGGAATGTCAGATCTGCAGAAATAGAAATACTAATCATCACATGCATCTTACTGTACTTGTGTGTATTTATTAGGTTAACATTGCCAGTCAACGGTGGTCTTATAATTAAAAGTGTCAGAAATTCCATCGAATCCCCTTTGCTGGTCATTGAGTTCTGGGTATTTAATGCAATTAGAACATTCCAGAATCATGGATATCAACCAGAATTTCAGTCTGCTTAGTACTTATCTTGATTCAGACAAATCAGGAAGTTAAAAAAGTATTTTCATACAAGCGACTGCCTCATAAATAGATAACACTAAACTATTATGAAAAATATACAAAGAAGGACCTGTGCGTGGCTGATTCCATTTTAAAAATCTCAGTTTTAGTTCAAAGGCACCATCGCTTTGGGAAAACTGGTCATGTGCAGTGACATCTTTCTACCTCACGGGCTTGGCCAAAAACCTGAGTAGTGCTTATGGGCAATTTCTCACAAGGGGGTGGGGAGAGTCAGAAATGTTCTCTGAAGCTTTGACCCAGAGAGAATGAAGGAGGGGAGGGGCGCTGTGAAGCGGAAAGATGTGCTAGGGACTAGAGTGCTACAGGCGAAGTTAAGATCACATTTATGACCACCCCTGCATTCGGTTTGGGCATCCTGTGGAGTTTTGAGTTTGGTTGTCACTGTGGCCTTGTTTTCTTGGCTATGATACCTGCTTCATCCAGAAAATCACCCTCTCCCCTACCCCATCCCCAGGCTGGGCTGCAAGGCCTCACGGCTGACTTTCCTATGAATGTTTGAGTCCATGGTGTTTTGCTGCTTTACTCATGCCTTTTTTTTTGTATGATGTTTCAGCTCATCCACCATACACCATGTGCTTTAGAGTGAAATTCTACCCACATGAACCCCTGAAGATTAAAGAAGAGCTCACAAGGTATTTTTCATTTGATTTATGTTTAACATAACCCTTCCTCCCCCCACCCCCCGGCCTCCCACAAACCATCCAGGTCCTTCGAGTCTTCCAGGCTGGAGGTACCAACAATGTGGGCGCTCAGCTCGGCATCATGGCTTGGAATGTTTCTCTTGCACTTAATTGTCTCAGGATTTTTCAAACACTTGTCATGGGGAGTGTAATTAAGTGCACAGAAAAGCAGCAGTTATAAGGAGGAGGTACTCCCTGCAAACATCTGACAGTAGGGTGCTAAAAATAGATAGAAGATGACGGTCTTTAGGATATGGGCAAATTCATAGTGAGTGAAGCCCCGAGTGCCTATCTTCTGGATCTCAGCTTTTCTGGGAGGGAAGAGACCACTTGATAGAATGGACTGTTGGCCATCCTGCATTCCGCTCACTAAATGACTGACGGTGGGGCTGGCTTCCCTCTCCTGGTAGACTCTTCTCAGCCCACCTCTCTGAATATTCCGATTCTCAGGCCTCCCCCATGCTGAGGCCACATTCTGGGGGTTTTGCTTCCGTGAACAGCCTGGGCCAGTGCAGCTGATCAGGTCCCAGAGGGGCCTATTCAGTGGAGGGGGAAGAGCCATTCTGTGTTAAGTTCTTGATGAGGCTCTGATTTGGTGACCGCAGAAATCACTCTGCATAATTATCTCTCAGAATAACCTCCGCAGGTACGAATGCAACAGAGAAACAAGTGCCCTTAGCTGATCCTCATTTGCAGGGTATGTGCTGGGTTCTTGGATATGTAGCTTTCTCATTATCCGCGAATGCCTGGTAGAGCTTGACCATAGTGGCACTGAGGGCGCAGATGGTTTCTTCTCTATTATGAACTAGTACACAGTCATTCAGTGAGGGTTGGGGGCGGGGGCAGGGACAGGTGTGGAAAGGAGAAATACATAGGTAATGGACATTATAAGTGGTGGTTCAGATTTTGTAATCTGACCTGCTGTGTGTGTGTCTTTTTTAATTGAGTTAAAATTCATATAACATAAATTAATTTCACCATATCAAAGTGCACAATTCATTGGCATTAAGCACATTCACAATGTTAGGCAACCATCACCACTGGAGAGTTCCAGAACATTTTCTCACCACCCCAAAGGAAACACTGCACCTACTAGCAGCCAGTACTCAGTCTCCTCTCTTCCAGCCCCTGGAAACCACTAATCTACTTGCTGTCTCCATGGATTTACCTGTTCTAGACATTTCATGTAAATGGACTCGTGCCATATTTTGCCTGCTCATGGCTCAAAAATTTATTCATTTATTTGATAAGTTCTTCAGTTCCCACTTTTTCTATAGCCCAGGGAACAGGAGCTTCTGAGCTTCCAGAGAGAGAGAGAGAGAGAGAGAGAGAGAGAGAGAGAGAGAGAGAGAGAGAGAGAGAGAGAGACTTGTCCTGCTCTCTGGGTGGTGCTAACAGTATAATTAGGAAGAACCACCAGGGGCCCAAATGGCTCACTTTTGTCATTTATGTTCTCTATAATCTTGTGTGGAGGACAAAAATTGATAGTGTCATAATAGAAATCAACAATAGATCTTTTGTGGTTGGGAAAAGTCCCGTTTGAAAGTAAAAGAGAATAAAGTTTTAGCTAATAACTTGAGTTAAATCCCTCTCAATTAAATTTGCTAGCATTCACAGGCATTTGCTTGAACAGCTAAAGTCTGAGTAATGGAAAATTGTGAACATTTTTATGTCTCTGAAGGAAATTAAGATGATGCTCAGTCCTTGAACAGTGGAGATGAGCTTTTCTTAGTCATTATGGTCCTTAGTATTCAAAATGAATCTAAAAACTGTGCAATGCCCAGGCGCTTATGGTTTAAACCCTATCTTGAAAGAGTTAGGTTTTTCTTGTTTGAGAAATTATTTTATTGTAAGATTAATCTAAAATTTAAGATGAATTTAATATAGGAGATGTTAAGATCACATTTATGACCATGCTTATGGGTAAAGAAACACTGGGGGAAAGGGAAGATTTAAAAGAGGAAAACCATACAAATACACAAAAGACTTTTGAAATCATTTTTCATTCTCTAACTCTCCATTTATGCTGTCATCTTACAGTCCCCCCCCCTTTTTTTGGTAAATGCTGTATATGATTAGATATCATCAAAGTATATTGGTTTTAATGTTTTAGTCAGAACCATGTTTAAATTCAGGCCTGGGAGAGAAGCAATGTCATTAATGGGGGCACAATAATGGAGGCCCAGATCCTTTGGGTGCATAATCCCTTCATTCTGCAGATGTGATGCTAAAGGAAGAGGCATCATCATTATTATTTTAGTGGTTATTGTATTTAAATAATGAGCACCTGAGCCTGCAGCCATTTTGAAGGCTCAGTGGATTATGTTGAATCCACAGTAATCCATGATTATCTGTGGAGATGACGGATAGGAGCCAGCACCCAGGCTCCGATATTGTGAAAGCTGATTTCTTTCTTTCTCGGGAAGCTTTTGTCCAACTGGATTTCTAATTTACAGGATTAGAACCCAGACCTCTCATTCATCAGGAAATAGTTATTGGAAACTCTTTTTTAAGCTAAACTTATCACACAAAGTGGCAAGGACTGCTTTCTGTTCAGTGCACACGTTTAGCAGGTAGAAAAGAAACTTATGGCAGGTGGCCTGGTAGTTCACCTTCTTTTTTAAAAGAGGAAAGATTTGATCAATTTCTAGTACTTTGCAACCTTGCGGAGTGACGCCTCACACCAGCAGCACCACCTGGGAACTGGGACCCAGCAGTCTCTATTTTCATAGCCCTGCAGCATGTCAACATTTGAGAATCACTATTCTAAGGCAATTTGGATTTTCAAAAGTATTCATTTCTTTTGGCAAATATTACAGTGCACACTTAAATGGGTTTGATATGATCACAACCTTGTGCTACCATCACCACAATCTAATGCCAGAGTATTTTTATCACCTCAGTAGGAAACCCCATAGCCCGGTAGTCATTCCCTGGCAGCCACTAATCCACTTTCTGCCTCTAAAGATTTGCCTATTCAAGACATTTCATATAAATAGAACCATAATATGTAGTGTTCTGTGACTGGCTTCTTTGCACTTAGTGTCATATTTCCAAGGTTCATCCCTGTCGTGCATGAATCAGTACTTCATTCCTTATGTGGTTGAATCATATCCCATTGCATTCACGTGCCTTTTACCTTTTCATCAGTTGATGGGCATTGGGCTTTCCCACTTTTTAGCTACTCTGAATAATGCTGGTGTGTCCCTCTCCCCTGGCTGAATTGGGCGCAAGTGTATTTTTTTTTTCCTGTTTGGTGCCCCAGTAATTTTAAAAACAGAATTTGTTGCAACGTTTAAAATTCAAAGGGTTTTACTTTTTCAGTGAAAGAAATTCTAAACCTAAAGGAAGGTCTAAAGAGTGTATGATGAGCCATGGTTTTGAGGGCTAGTCCCAGAAGCAATGTCTCCTCGAGGGAATGAGATAATGCCCCCGGGGAATAGCAGTCTATTTTATACACTAGAATCAAAGGAGAAGACGTAGGAAAGGTTTGCATGAAATCCAACAGTTGCAGATGGAGGAGGCGAAAGGAAGCAAAGCAGGGAAATCTCTAGGATGGATAAAAAGTAAAACGGAGGGATACACGCTTCCTTTACATGGTGGGTGCAGGACAGTTCACCGTTAGCCTACATAATTTACAGAGGTACGTGGGTAAAGAGAATAATGAGGAATGTTGGCCTTGTTTCCCCCCTCACCAGTGTTTACCTCTGGAGGTCTGGAGAAGAGATCACTCTGACATTTTAAGTTTGTTATTCTAGATGCACAAAAACAATGGATCAAGGTAGAGTCTAATCTACCACATAGGCCTTGGAATGTGACCTCCCCCATAACCCGTTCAGTTAGGAGTTTCTTATGATCAGAACACCTCGTGTGGTCACTTTCAGTTACTGAGTTGTCATGTTTGCCAAGGGGTTCCCTTTTGGTTCACAATTTCTGAATCCATCTCCTGATTTCCTGAAAAGCTGGATGCATTTGGCCTGTTTTCTGTGCAGTAGCATCAGGCTGGAACTGTGTGGCGGCTGACCCCTTCATGGGGCCAGCGCTCTCCATTCTGCTTCCCTGGACCCCTTATGCCAGCTCCTTTTAGTCCTTATCAGGTTTGCCTGGCTCTGTAGGCATCTGAGTTTGCTGTCCCGGCAGAGGGGAGAGGACACTAAATAGGTGACAACTCCAGTTATGAATTAATTTGCTTTCTGGCCTCATAACAAAGTCATCTTGAGATGGATTGCTGTTGAGTCTGTGTCCTGGAGACTGGTTTCCGTGTACTGAGTTCATCCATTTCCTGACTTTCACGCAGAACGTGGGAAGCATGTACCGGTGGGTGTCATCCTGTGGGACCTCCTGCCAGGAACAGTGGCTGCTGACCCTCTGACTTTCCTTGGTCCTTCTCATGTCTCTTGGAAGAGGGCCAGCCCCCCAGCTTTGGAAGCTGCCACAGACACTGGGCTGTTCTCTGGATTCTGAGGGCCCCTCCGTTTTCTGTGCTGGCCCCCCAAGGGGCGGGCATGTCTCAGCCACTCCTGGGGCTGCGGAAGGCGCTGCTGATACAGGTGGATAGAACATGAGCAATCACTGACACTTAGGGGGACTCTTTCCTTTGTATTGCAGGTACCTTTTGTACCTGCAAATTAAGAGAGATATTTTCCACGGTCGACTACTCTGCTCCTTCTCAGATGCTGCCTACCTGGGTGCATGCATCATTCAAGGTAAGTTGAACTGGACTATAGAGATTTGGCTGCTCAGAGGTCCCCCTCCCCAACTCCCCCCCCGCCCTGTGCCTGTCCTGCTGGTGTCCATGGTTTGAGGCCAGGCAGGGCTGGGTACTCGGCACCAGAGCCCCTGGTCATCTTTCCTCTCAAGCCAGCAGGGTCTGGTGGAAGGTCGGGCTGTGGTGGTCACAGGGGCCTCTGCAAAAACAAAGGGTCCTCAAGGCCCATGGCAGAGCTCAGAATGTGGGACTTTATGAGAAGCCCTGAAGGATTGTGGGTATTCTATGCTCAGAGTGCCAAGTGCTGACCACCCGCTGTAGGGCTGAATGGGTACACCGAGGAGAAACTGTGTCCAGGAAGATAGATGTAAATTCAAACATTGGAGTGAAATGTCAGAACATATATACATATATGTATGCATTCATTCATTCATATGGGTACACATACACTGTATCTAATTCTTTAGCTTCTCCAGCCACGTAAGGTAGTGAGGAGAGGCCAGGCCCACAGTCTATTGTATGACTCAGGTGTTCTGTTCCCCTGGGCCAGTCGGGAGGCAGCTGGTGGCAGGGGATGTTCAGAAGGACTCAGGTGATCCAGCCATTTGTAGCATCAATGCTAATGACATGTTTATCGGAGAAGGGAAGGGAGGGAGGGGGAGAGAGACAGGGACCAAGTGAGCATGTCACCCTTATAAAGGGACTGGAACAACAATCCACAAAGTGGATCCTGACAGTCATCTGCTGATCACAATTCCAAGCTCCACTCACAGTTGGAGAGAGAGACCCATCCTTCTCCCGAGGTTGTGATAGGCAGAGCTGTCCCTGAGGGATGCTCTGTGCTGGGAAATGATCTTGTGAGGTGTGTGCCCTCTGGGAATTCTAAAGGATGCATCTGTGCTGATGCTCCCCTTCCCCGGGGAGCAAACTAGTGATGCTCAGCAGATTTTGGCAGAGGTGTTGACACCCTTGGGGATAGTCACATTTAAAGTCAGAACGACAGTGATACTGTGATGGGAAAGGTCCTTGTGTCTGCCCAGAGGTGGGACACGTGCTTCTGAAAGCCACCTCTCTTACATCCGAGCTAAGGAGGTGGAAACCCATAGTTCTCCCCCTTCCCTGTGAGGACGGCAAGTTCCTAGTCAGGGAGCACTGTGTTCTCTAAGGGAGACGTGGATCGATACTAATCCAAGCAGCAAACCCACATGTGAGGATTTCAGAACTCGGCTAGGCATGAGTGAATAATGGTCAATTCTCCAAGGGCAAACTCAATATGGGTCTGTAATGGGAGACACTCCATCCTTTTTATGTTTGAGATAAAGTCACAAAGGCTCCATCCAGATGATGGGGGCCCCTTTTGTTGTCGCAACGTATCCTCACTGACCACACACAGATGTTGTCGAGAGAGTAGAGTTGCAAATGGACTGCTGACCTCCAAAGGATTTTTCAGCTAAAAAAAAAAATGCAGTGGTGTCCATGGGCCATTTATAGCGAGTCCAGTAAAAGCAGATCCATAAAGTTCTGTGGTGCTGGAGCCATTCTTCAGCAGCTCTAGAGATCGTTACAAATGCAGATAAAGGTCTGCTTTGTAGGAACTGCTTATGCTTATGGAGAGCGATAGGGAAAGTAAAGGATTAGAAGGCGAGGCCATGTGACTTTTCATTGGCTTCTCATTTGCCAATGCTCTTTTTTTATTAATTTAAATTTTTTATTGTTGACACTATTGCAGATGTCCATCTTCCCCAGTCCCTCCCCGGGCCCTCCCCGCACTATTGTCTGTGTCCATGGGCTATGGATACATGTTCTTTAGCTAATCCCTTCACCTCCTTTAAACAGTCCGCCCCACAGCCTCTCCCCTCTGACATTTGTCAGTCTGTTCCATGTATCCGTGCCTCTGGTTCTATATTGTCCTTCTGTTTATTTTGTTCATTAGATTCCACATGTTAGTAAGATCACATGGTGTTTGTCTTTCCCTGATTGGTTTATTTTACTTGCCAGCACTGTTTGACGGAGCATGCGTTTAGCTTCTGTATATTCTGAGGGTATAAAAACCAGGCAGCCTCCCCGAGTTTTGCCACTTGTACGTACTGAACACAATGGGCATATTCAGTACATGCCACACATTTTCTTTCATGTTAAAGACAAATTACAAAGCAAACACACAGGACCCTAGGGACCTAGTTCCATTCCTTCTCAGTAAAAATATCTTTCCTGTTCCTTCTATGGAATAGCAACAGGGCAGGATTCTTGTTCTTATCTCCCCTGCCTGGTGTGTTTAACGCCTGCAGGTCTGTGGCTCCTACTAAAAATTCAGACCTCAGTTCAGATGTCACTTCCTCTGAGAAGTCTTCCTGGACTACTGAAGTAGCCTCCCTCCTGCCCATCATTACATCATCCTTTCTCATACCCATTTTGCTGTCTTTTAAGCACTTAGATCTGAAGTGACCCTGTTAAGTTGTTTTGGAGTTTTTTATGCATCCCCTTTACATGAGGGTCTCTGGGTGGATTTTTCACTGTAGGACCCCTGTGTTGGGCGCACAGTAGGTTCTCCACTAAATATGTTACGTAAAGCAGGGCACTTGACTAATTGTACCAATATCAGCTTTCTTCTTCTTCTTGGGAAAGAGTGGTTGGTTCCCTACCTCATTCACTTATTTGTTTTTGTGTTCTCTGAACATTTATAGAACAGCTGCTAGGTGGCAGGCAGTGTAACACAAAGTCCCTGGGGGTGAGGTGGGAGGAGACAGACAAGTAAACAGACAGTTGTGATATGTGTTAATGGCTAAATAGAAAGACACACATCTCCCTGCTATGACCTCAGCTGGGCCCCAGTCCAGCAAGGGCAGACAGGGAAGGCTCCTGAAGAAGTTGACCCTGACGCTGTAACATCCTGCATCTCAAGTTCTTTTGCCATGAGTCCTCTCCACACCAGGGAAACGCCATTGTTGGGCTTGTTCTGTCTATTTGCTATCACCCGATCGCGCTGATCTGCTCCAACTCTGTCTTTTTTCAGACCATTAATTCTCTTAAAAAATGACCTAAGACCTGTTTCAGCCATCCGATGTGTTGTATATCATTTGTCACAACTTGACCCTCAAGGTCTGTGTAGAAGAGAGAACCATAGGCTGTTTACCCAACTCCTCTTGGTATGGAAAGCAAAATTTGAAGAGTTAGAAACTCTTAATCGCTTATAAACTGCCTTTTGCTTCAGGTGAAGTCAGAGTTAAAGACAAGCTGTCAGGGACAGGAAAGCAGGGAAGCGTTGGTGTTTACCTGGTCAGCTCCCTGTGGTGAGGGAGGTGTTGGAGTTTACCTGGTCAGCACCTTGTGCAGTTTCCATGGCATTTCTTCTTTTAGTTTTCACACATTTTCCAGGCTACTTGTTGGCTGTGTTGAGTCCACTGTTTCTCACAAGTTTTCCTGGAGAGAGAAGGACCCCCCACAAACAGTGCACTCCTGAAACAACCACTATGCAAGCTGGCATTTGCACTGAAGACCCAGTTTCATATCAGTGGCCCATTCCCTATGGAAAATGGCTGCATTGGGTTATACCAGTTCCTAAATTTTAGGCCTATAGCGAGCTCACAGGAGTCTGTATGTGTGGGTGTGTTTCTTTTGAAACTATGTTAGTTAATCATTAGTTTATGACCCATTCTTATCATTGATCCCTTTGGGCCTCTTATGTTTGATTGACTGATTAACCTTTTCCATTATTTTCCATTTCCATTCCCAGCGACAGTAACCAGGTTCATACATCTTTGACTTTGCATACAACCTTATAAAATGATTAGTATTATTTAGTATATATGCACCTTAAAGTTTTGAAATGAGACTCAAATTAAATGAGACTGTAGAACTCATTTTATTTCTTTTTATGCTCAGAATACTGTTTGGGGAGACTATGTTGCTGGGAATACATCTATTTTGTTGCTTTTAAAAGCTACAGGTATCCAGAAGGGTGTATCATCCTTATTTTACTTATTGTTCCCACTGACAGTGAACACTCAAGTTGCCATCATATTCTTTTTTTGCACCCAGAGTTTTTCTAGAATATATGCCCTGAAGTGGGATAGCTGGGTAATAAATTTGACTAAATACTCCCAGCTGGTCTGTAAAAGAACTACATGTATCAAGAATCTTTCAGAAGTGTACGAGTATTTGCATTTCCTCATATCTCTGCCAGCATATAAAATTGCCCGACTTCCTAAAATTTTTGTTACTCCTACAGGTGTAAAATGATACCTAGTTGTTTTGGTTTGCATGGCTCTGATTATGGATGAGTTTGAGCATGTCTCCATATACTCACCCTTTGGGTTTCCCCTATTGTGAACTGGCTGTTTGTATCCTTTAGCCAATTTCCTGTTAGTCTTCCTGCCCATTTTCTCATTGATTTGTAGGGATTTCTTCTTTATTCTAGATATTAGCCCTTGTTAGCATTCAATTTTGCAAATATATTCTTTCAACTTGTCATCTATTATTTTGACTATGATGTCCTTTAATGGGTAGAAATACTAAAAATGTTGATACAATCAAATTAATCAATTTCCCACCAATGGTTGATGGTATTTTGGGTCTTATTTTAAAAGTTCTTCCTCATGTGGTAGACATTTTAGGTTGTTTTAAGAACTCTGTAATTTGAATCCTATTAAGAAGCTCTAATGAGCTTAGCTTTCCTCCCAGCTTTGTCCTACAGTCATTAGATGATTCAACAATGAAGGGACAGGATACAAAATACAGAGTTGTATGTGATTTTGCAGACGTGCTCAAGGCATCTTGGTTTTTAAAAATCTATTTCAAAGTCATGTAGGTGATCAAGTTTTCTAATACAATTTCCCCACCATCTTTGGTCTACTTTCTGGGCCATTTTGCCTGAGACACTTGCCCTTCCTTGCTCATTCCGTATCAAACTCATGGGATCAGTAAATATATTCCCTGCCAGAGCATCACCTTTGCTGCTCCAGGCTATAGTCCGTGCACATCAGGTCCATCCTCTTCTAGACCCTCAGGGTGCTCAGGGAGGTGCAGGCATTTCTTTTTATCCTTAAAGACCCTCTGCAGGTGCCCTCCGTTAGGATCCAGCAACAGCCTTAATCTGGTATGCTCATCCATACTTTGAGACACACTCTTTAAGAGCAATCCATTTCTTTTTACGTGCAATCCTCTTGGGTGCCTTCATCTTGTGACTTGTCATTGAATGAGCCACACCTACACACGTATCAGAGCAGGCAGCTCCAGCCAGCGGACTCCTGGACTCAGGGAAAGTTGGCTCTGAGAGGAACCATGAGGGACTGTTCAGTGGTTTTCAGTGAGAGGTGGCACACCACCTCCTACCCCGGGGGCATTTGGAAATATTGGGGGAAGCATTTTTGGCCATCACAACGACTGCCTGTGTCACTAGCACTTAGTACCTGAAGGGTAGGGATGCTAAATGTCCTACTATGCCTTGGGAGGTCTAACAAAGAATTGTTTAGCCTGCATTTTGCCCCATTGAGAAACAATGACTCAAATCCATTTATTGTGTAGATCAGGGATGGCGAACCTATGACACGCGGGTCAGAGGTGACATGCAAACTCATTTTTTTGGTTGATTTTTCTTTGTTAAATGGCATTTAAATATATAAAATAAATATCAAAAAATATAAGTCTTTGTTTTACTATGGTTGCAAATATCAAAAAATTTCTATATGCGACACGGCACCAGAGTTAAGTTAGGGTTTTTCAAAATGCTGACACACCGAGCTCAAAAGGTTCGCCATCACTGGTGTAGATAAAGAAATGAGACTCAGAGAGGTTGGCGAGTGCCCAAGCTCACACAGCTAGATCTGAACTAGAATATAAGCTTCCAGACACTTAGGCTGTGGTCTGTCTATGGATACAAGTGCATTTCATTGGGTGAGCTTATTCCAAGCTCTTCTTGTGGGTGCAGGAGCCATCCCATGTGCACCCTGTGGTTGTTTTTAATCTTTTTCTCTCTCTACATTTTACTGCTTACAGCTGAGCTCGGTGATTACGATCCTGATGAGCATCCTGAGAATTACATCAGTGAGTTTGAGATTTTCCCTAAGCAGTCACAGAAGCTGGAAAGAAAAATGGCAGAAATCCATAAAAGCGAACTCAGGTAATAGGGGTAGACGTTTGTAAACATGGTAGAGGTGCGAAAGCATTCTTACCGTGGGGAATGTGGAAGCCGTGTTGTGAAGTGAGGATGTCTGTAATGTATGGGCAGACTGTTTCAGGTGTCAGAGCAGTATTTCTGGGCACTGTCAAGCTCCTCTATTAATAACAATCGCAATAGTGTGGGGTCCCCTGGGTGGCTGTTTATGAACCATCAGCAGTTATTAGAGCCATATATTTTCTTACGGGTTTTAGCCACCCTGAGTTTCTGAAAATAAAATGTAGGGTAAATCAGTAATTTTTTTTTTTTTTTTTTTTTTGCGGTTTCCACTACCTCTCCCCTTCCTGTGGTCATTGCTGGAAGCTTTGACTCCATGTAGAGTAGAATCCCTTGAGAGGGTTTCATTTGCTGAGCTGCTCTCAGGGCGACAGATTCAGTGTCCTCTCCTCTTTTCCTTGTCTGTGATGCTCCAGAACAAGTGCTCAGCAGGGTAGTAATGGCAGGAGTAGCAAAATCACATATAGTATCCTCTGTGTCCGACACTCTTCTAAATAGTTGCACGTATCAACTCATGTAATCTTCACAACAACCTAGGAGATAGGCGCCATGGTTGTTCCCATTTTATAGACGAGGGAGTTTTACAGGGAGATTAAGTATCTGACTCAAGATCACACAGCTAGCAAGTGTCAGAGGCGGGATTGGAACCTAGGCTGCCTGGCTCCAGAGTCTGTGCTTGTAAGCTTTGTGTGATGCTTCCGCTTAGCATAGGCTACCAGGGGTGAAGTGTAGCAAGTGTAGGAGTCATTGGCAATTTTGAATTCAGGTAACTCAGTTTTTCTAGTCTGTAACTAGAATTCAGGTCCATGCACGTCACAGAAATATTTGTTATGATAATCATAGCAAGCTTGGGCTGTGCTATGACAAGTATTGATGAAGAGCTGCAAGAGCTGAGAGGCTTCTATCTTCTGGATCTCTGGTAATTATTAAAAAAAAAAAAAAACAACCTTAGTGTCACTGGTTTATGAATTCTGGAACAAACTATTGTCCCCTGTGAGGGAGTGCTGGAGCTCCCTACTTTGTGCTGGCACTCCCCCTTCTGGTGAGTCTGAGAAGAGCATATATGTGGGCATTAAGGTGGCAGCATATTTCCCCTCAGAAAACATGACCTTTGTTCTTAGAGATAAAGATGATTAGATCTAAAAAAAATCGTGCCAATTGAAGAAAGCAACATATCTTCTCTATTGGTGATTTAGAGTATTGTTTCCTAATGCAAAGCTTTGCTGAAAACATATGACACTCTGACTACTTTTGACATTTTGAGGATAAGCGTGCTCAAGGTAAAAATAAAGTTCCAATATCCAGTTGATGGGTATGTGGCCAGCAGTGTCTGGTGAGCACAGGGTAAGACCCTTTGGATAAAGGACTCACACAGTGTGTGGATTGGTAGGAGATGGAATGGAAAGGTCCGTTGTAATCAGAATTTGCAAGGCCTTCAGTGCTTGGAACATATGGTAATTACAAACATTTATTGAGCACTTACTGGGTGACCAAACCCGTGCTAAGAGTCTTATTTGTATTACCCCACTCAACCTCTATGCGGTAGGTGCTCTTGCTGTTCCCAGTCCAAGGTGAAGAGAGCATACCCTGGAGTCTCTAAAGGACTTGCCTTGTTGGCAGCAGTCAGGACTTGAGCCTTGCTGTTAGCTGAAACTAACACACATGTGCTGAGCAGGCGTAAAGCCACCAGGTGGTTTAACTAGTGGTTTGGCAGCCATGCTGGTTTTCCACAGCGATCACCATGGCACTGGCATCAGAGGCTGAGACTGTGGGCAGGAGGACCAGTTAGTCATTCCTGCTGTCCAGGCAAGAGATGTCATGGACCTGAAAAAGAACAGGCGTAGAGAACATTGAAGGGTGTCTCAAGAGTCATTGCAGAAAGACTTAGCGACCCACTGGATTTCGTGAGTGAATGACTGAATCAAGGTGCTGGATTGTTTTTTATAACCAGGAAGCTGCAGATTGGCCCTTGTGCCAGCATCTGAATTTGTTGATAACCCTGAAAGTGGTCATCGTGCACCTAGGGAACACAGGGGGTCACCAATCAACCATGGTTTACTAGATCTCAGAAGTAAATGCCACCACTCGATCAAAACTGCCGTTCTGTGTCACTACACATTTGTCACATCCACACGTGAACCTTTGTAAAGAAGTGAAAGTTGTGTGTCCGAGGGATGAAATAACTAGAAACCATGCGGCACTGCAAGGAGAGCTGCAGAGGGTGCTTTCCTATGCGTTTTGCTAATAACCAAGTAGCCCTGCATTTCCTGCAGCATCGGTGCAGCAGAGTGCTTTTAGGTTTGGATGGGGAGATAGGACTAGAATAAGCTGATGGTGCCGGGGGCGGGGGGGTGGAGGTGGGAAGGGGTACTTTCTAGAATTGGTTGGAACCCTGCTGTAAAGACTCAGGTCACTCTGGGGGTTCAGCAAGCCCTTTGTAGGTGGTAAAAATGTCGATCTCATGTGGGAATTGGGTTGCTCTGCCAACCTGACAGTGTCAGGAAGGAGTTGCAAATGGAAGAGAGCATTACGAGCCTGTATCAAGGTGTCACCATCTTATTCTCCAAGGTTGTCACAGCACCCATGACCCCACACACAGCAAATGGGTAATGTGTGATCATTGATCTGTTGTTACAGAAACTTTCTAAGAGCATCCAGTTGGCCTTTGTTGGGGGTTGAGTGCTCCCCAAAAATAACCTCCTGTCTTCTACTTGATTTCTGAACCAGTTGAGTAAAGGAGATGGTAATAGAGACACTCAGACATGAGCAGAAATGATGATTTACAGTGAAATATTTTTTACCTGTGGGGTTTTACAACCTTCTGCAGCCTTTTTTACTTGATTAGACTCAGTCTCCTTCTGTGTTCTCTGAGGAAGGGGTAAGAGCTGCGAATCTTGGGAGAAAATTAATCAGGGAGTAAGGAGAACCCTCCCCCCTCCCCAGGAGGCTACCCACTGCTAGAAGTTAGAACAAAGATGGCTTGAGAGGCACGAATAAGAGGCTCCTGTAGGGGAAGAGAGTGTGAAAGAGTGACTCCTTGGAATTTTGAGGGGCTTGGAAATAGAAGATCAAGATTTTACTAAGAGTTCCCATGCACTGAGTGCTCTGACTCCTTTTATTTTTGAGTGAAAAGCGAAATGCATGGCCGGGTCTACTTCATTAAATGTGCCGTATCCTTGACTGAACAGGAGGGTCAGAATGAGAAGTCATAGTTTTGCAAATATAATAACATAATTTATTGATCATCTCTGTGTCAGTCAAGAAAAGCTAGATATTGCTGGGGAAACAACCCCTAAAGCTCAAAAGGTTTAGAACAAAAAAGACATTTCTTTCTCTTGTGTGTTCACCAGATGTTGAATTTGCCAGTTGTAGAGCCAGAGGGAAGAGGGATCTGGAAGCTGTTGCTTCAGATTGGAGGTGATACATGTCCCTTCTACTTAACTACTATAGTCACATGGCCCTACCCAAGAGCAAGGAACTGCAATTATATGAGTTGTCCAGAAGGTGAAAACTGGAAACAGCTGGTAAATAGCTTAGTGGCCTTCACAATATCATTAACTAATAGTTTTTAAAAATAGACTTTATTTTTTAGAGCAGTTTTAGATTCATAGCAAAATTCAGTGGAAGGCACAGAGATTTCATTTCCCCTAGACCCTCTGTGTAGCCTCCCCCAGTATCAACGTTCTCCCACCAGAATGGTACATTTGTTACAACTGATGAACCTACAGGGACACATCATTATCACCCAGAGTCCATAGTTTACCTTAGGGTTCACTCCTGATGTTGTATATTCTATGGGTTTGGACAATAGTATAATTACATGCATCTACCAATATCGTATCGTACAGAATACTTTCGCTGCCCTAAAAATCCTCTGTGATTTGCTTATTCATCATTCTCCACCCTCACCAAGCCCTGACAACCAGTGATATTTTTACTATCTCCATAGTTTTGCCTTTTTCAAAATGTTGTACAGTTGGGTCCATACAGATTGACTCTTTCACGTAGGTAACATGCATTTAAGATTCCTACATGGCTTTTCATTGATAGCTCATTTTACTGCTGCGTAATATTCAATTGTCTGGATGTAGCACATTTTTTGTCCATTCACCATCCTGAAGGACATCTTGTTTGCTCCTAGGTTTTTGGATTAGCTTCAGACATAGGTCCTTGGCCATTATAAACATCTATGTGCAGGCTTTTGTGTGGGCATATATATCCATCTCCTTTGGGCAAATACCATACCAAGGATAACAATTTCTGGATTATATAGAGCATATTTTGTAAGAAACTACCAAACTGTCTTCTAAAGTGGCTGTACCATTTTGCATTCTCACCTGCAATGAATGAGAGTTTCTATTGCTCCACATCTTTGTCAGCATTTGGTGTTTTCAGTGTTCTGAATTTGGGCTATTTTAACAGGTGTATATAATAGAGTTTTATGTAGAAAGATTTTATAGAGGCAGCTTTGGGCCTTTTAATATACTATCCTGTGAGCTAGACAATGAGGGAGATGTGTGATTCACATTATTGAATAGATGTCAGTAAAATCCACTGAGGCTGAATAATTCTAGATCGGGGTGGTTAATAAGGTTTTTTGGGGGCTATATGGCCTTTATTGCAGCTATTCAGTTCTGCTTTTGTAGAGCAAAAAAAGACATAGACAATACATAAATAAGTGGGCTATGATTCAGTAAAACTTTACTGACAAAACAGATGGTGGGCCAGATTTGACCCATGGGTTCTAGTTTGCTGACTTCTGTTCCAAACTCATGGCAGAGCAGGTCTAGTATTCACAAAGTTCAGTTGGTGGTAAAGTGGTTTTGAGGAAGAAACCATTTATCCCTGGTTTCACTCTCCATAGTTTCAGTTTCCCACAGTCAATCAAGGTCAAAAATATTAAATGGAAAATTTCAGAAATAAACAATTCATAAGTTTTAAATTGC